ATTTCAATTTATAAGTGAGGAAACAGACTCACAGACGACAAGAAACAGTTCATACTCTCATTCATTCATCTATCAAATGATTACCGAGTATCTACTATGTGTGAAATACTGTACTCAGGATGGAGGATATATTAATAGCAGCAAAAAATCCCCCCACAACCAAAAACAAAGCAAAAACCCAAACCAGAATTCCTCATTCTTGCAGGAATGGTAAAGGAGGCATGCAGTGTTATAAAGAAAAAGAGTAGGTTAACATGTAAGTAGTACTGGTGGGTGGCTCTTAAGTAATATGGTTGGAAAGTTATCAGGGCATGTGACATTGAAACTGTGCTCTGAAAAAATGAGAAGGCACTAGTTCTGCAAACAATGAAGAAAAGAGAGACTTAGGTAAAATACAGCTTGCCTCAAGGCCCCGAAGTGAGAAAAACATTTTGGAATGTTTGAGAAATAATGTGGTAGGAAATGTTTAAGACAGGAGGGGTAGTTAAAATGTAGCATGCATGGCCTAACTGTATCTGAAGAACAGTGACAGATTCTGAGCACCCCCTTTTAAGGAGGACATGGGACAAAAAGGAATCTATCAGAGTAAAGGGTAAATAAGATGAAAGAGATTCAGAAATTATGCCGTGTGGGAAGGAAAAGAAGTAACTGCATGTTAACTATCAATGAGAAATGACTTGGGTGGCCAGTTGGTACTGTCATATTTTCTCTGAAAGGCTGACATGGGAAAGAAAGATTTGATTTTGTTCAAATCAATATAAGTGGCCAAGAGGGGAGAGTTAAGGAGATAAAATTTGGCTTTATATACGGAAAAAAGTTCTACCTGCTCCACAAAGGAATCAACTTCCTTTCACTCCAGAGATTTGCAGTAATCAAGCTAAAGCGATATAATGTCTTGCCAAAAACATTTTATTGGAGATTTCTTTTTTGGCTTCTGCTCTAGAAGAGGTGACAGTTCAAAGTCCACCCAACTCTAAGATGCTAAGAATGTATAATATAGCTGCATCCAAAACAAATGGTTACAATATAGCCTGATTCACAAGACAGACAGATGTTATTAATTCAGTGCCAAGGACAGCACTTTGATAACTTTGGGACTTCCCTTGTTATCTGTAAGAAAGCATCAATAGGTACACGTGAGATTACGAATCAGCTCAAAATTCCCCACACAAGTGCCTGTGAACAACTCATACTTCATTAAAATGCGTGCACGTACCCTGCCATGTCTAATAATGCACATCACACTTGAACTCTCTGTAGTGGACTAGAATACTCCACATTCGTGAATCACCATAGAGTTTGCATAATGTCTTTTTCCTCATGTGGACTAGTAATAGTCCACATTGAATGAATGACTTCACATTCCTAAGGTGGAACTTAATATTAATTATTTGACACAGCATTTCACTTATTTATTTTTGTTCTCTCCCCTACTAGAATGTTTACACTATGGGGCAGGGATTTTTGTCTATCTGGCATACTGCTGTTTTCCAAGTACTCAGAAAAGTGCCTTCTTTTGACATACAGCAAGTGCTTGATAGATGTTTCCTTAGTTAGGCAATACTATCTGATTCTTTCAGTAGCATACCTAAAGTTGCATGGCTACGAGGGTTTTGTAGGTAGGCAGTCTGATTGTAAAGGCCAAATTCGTAGCTAGTCTGATGAGCTGACACACCATCCTTAATATCTAAAGAAATCTGGACCCTAGAATTCTCTTACCCTGCCCTGACTAAAACTTGCAGGTAGGGTACGGAGGAATGAAATTGGCTGCTAATAAATTATCTGTCTTGGCCCACAAACATCCTGCAACAAAGGACCATTGTTGTTTTCATTTAATCTGTTAAATTCACTTTGTTCCATCCGTTGTTTTTAATCTTTTAGTGATATCGATTTGAGGAATTCTGTTTTTTATTTGACACAAGCTATTTTTTTCCCTTTTGTAATGGAGCAAAGCAACACTACCCTCCGCCCCCATCCAAACCTAGTGCCTTTGTCTTCTCGCTTGTTTTTTAGTCACCGATTTTCATGTTTACCTATAGTTTCCTTAATTTTCTCCATTTTTCTTTGTAAAGTGTTGGCTTTTGGCTTTTTAATGATAAATGGAAAGGCTGCTTTTAGGTTTAAAAAGCTATATATTTTTAATATTCTCAGTATCAAAAATAAAACAGTAGTTATTTATTCCCTCTTGTCTAACATGAGAAAATTAGCAGATTTTTATTTACACTCATCAATCCTCCAACTCTTTCTCAGTTTGTGTTGACAAAATAGCGAATTATAGATCCAGATCACAATGGCTATTTTTTTACATTATGCATTACATTATGCATTTTTAAGTAATTTTTTTACATTAACCTTCTGTTTTATAACGTATTTAGAGCAACTATTAATATTTAGCCTTAATGCTATGTTTAATTAGTTTCATGCTCACTGTGGGACATTTTATTCCATATTTCTCTATTCCTGATTCCTTTATTTTGATTCATTGCTTGGTCAATTGCTCTTTGAATGATTTATTAGATGCAGAGCATGTGGGAGCCCTTGGATACTAAGAATGTCTTCCTGATATATTTGCACAAGAACAACTTGGCTGATAAAGAATTTGGGGGTTATAGCACTTTCTCCTCAAAAATCCTCCAGGCTTAACTGCATTGTCTGCAGCCCTTTACAATATGGAGAAATCTGAGTGGGACCAGGCAGAGATTTGTTAGACTGAGAATGGCTATTCTGCTCCTATGACCCTTTCACCCAGCTCTTTTCAGTAAAACTTAATACTAAAGACGGTAATTTGAAACAATGTGTACTTTTCCCCTTGCCAGAAAAATGCAGCATTTTGAGTGCCCAGCTCCCACCGTTTTTCCTCTCTCTGTTCCTGTGGGGCCAAATGCATTTCCAAGACACTTGGTATAAGCACTGATCCAATTCCATTATGCTTGTGTTTCATAACTGGGAGTCTTAGTTCCAAAATGAGAGTACACCTGGCGTGGAATGGAAGACATGCATAATTAAATGGCCTTGTTCATCTCAGAAGCAGTAGTAGAAACTATTTCTGACATGAGGAAGCTTCAGAGTAGGATACTTCTTTTTTGTCTCAATGGCCAAAACCCATGTTTTGAAGAGGGGGTCTATGATGTGATGTTTGGGGAGCAAAACCTCTAACATTTGTCCTCTGTCTTCTATTCAGAGCCAACCATGTTCTGGTTAGGGAAATTCTTTCTGGGGTACGTTTGCTAGTTTCTTGGGTTCTCTTCCTAGGTTTTATGGGTATCTCAGCGAGAAGAATCTAGCATAGCTACTTCTGCCTCTTCCCAGCATGGAAACGCAACCACACCCCTTGCTGTGTGCCAAGAGCTGGGACAGCCACACCTTCTTAGGGAGTTGTGCTGAACCAATAAACTGGCCAGCGTGGGATGCAAAGAGTCAAGAATGAGAGAGGACCCAGCTGCTGCTGCTGCTGGTCTTTATGTCTTCCTGCTCAATACGTCAGAGTGCTTCCTGCAGAGGGAAGGCCAGATGGACAGGTGGAAGGCAGTCTGGCAGCTTCTCTTGTAGTTTTATACTCTGTAAGGAGTGTTGCTTGAACCAGTAATAAATGCAGAACTGAAATACCAAAGTGGAATTTAAATAGGTATGTGGACATTCTAAATGTTAATTAGCTCCTCAATCCAGGTTTCTCACCAGGCAATGAATGCCACTGACAGACTAAGCTCTCTGTCTTGGCCACCCAGAGCCTGCACGGGCTGTTCCCCACAGACTTCGCCGAATCTCACTTTTGTCTCAGCCTTCCCTTATCCTGTGAGCTTCTCACTCCTCCAGATACACTGCATAACATGGCACATGACAAACTCTCTTACTGTCTATAAGCTCTTGGAGAGCATGTACTATACAACATTAATATGAACCGTAGGGCCTAACCATTGTCAATATTCATTACATGTTTGGTAAATGAAATATGGCAACCTGGACTGTGTCCACAAAAACATACTGGACGGAAAAGGCAAACTTGTGTTATAAGAGGGACTGAAGATATTTAGCTTGCAGAAAAGAGGACCAGATGGGCATGTTTGTATAGAGGGGAAGTGGGTGGGAGAAAAGATCTTATATAACCGAATGAATACCAACTAAGAAGGTGATTGCATTGATTCTATAGGCTCCTAAGAATGTAGACCAAGAGCAATGGGTGGAAACTTCAATAAGAGATATTTAAGTAAATACATTAAAAAGCCTTCTTATAGACACAGCCCACTCCTACCCCTAACAACAAAATTACCTCAGAAATAAGCATGTTCTCTGTCTTTGGAAGTATTCAAGAATAAGCACTAATATCAGCTAACTGTGACATTGTAATACTGTTTGAAGCATTGCTTTTTTTTCTCTTTTTTTATTTTTTTGAGGGGGGTTGTTGGACGACCTTGAAGATCCTTTCCAGCCCTGTGATTTTCTGATGTTATGAGTGGCACCATTCCTTGACCAAAGAAATATTTGACACAAAAATGGTTATCTTATCTTTGGAGAAGAACTACTTTCTAATGTGACTAATGGTAACCACAAAGGAGTAATATACAATGATCAACTGAAACATGCTTAGTGTATTCCTAGGTAACAAATCGATAGGTATTATTATTCTATATGAAGAAACTGAGACTCAGACCATGTGATTTGCTCCAGTAAAGCACCTTCTCCATACTCTAACACAAGAATCTGCAAAGGTTTTCTGTAAAGGGCCATGGTGAATATTTTAGGCTTGTTAAGTACACACAGTCCCTATTGCAACTGCTCAGCTCCACTGTTAAGCGACCATGCAGCCGTAGACAATATGTAAATAAATAGGCATCGCTGTATTTGAAAAGAAACTTTATATTAAAAAAGCAAGCATGGGGCAGGATTTGGCCCGTGAGCCTTACTTAGTTTCCTGACTTCTGCTCCAGAGCCACACTGCCTCATCATATGTGAATGTGAATACTCAAACAAGGAAGGAATGGCCTCCATGTGGCCACACTTACTCCATTGGCTTTGCTGAGTGCCTGGAAGTAGATGCTGTAGCTTTTCAGGGGGGAGAGGGGCGGGTTCCAGTAGCCATTGTATGTCTTATTGTCACCCACTGTAAACGGCTGGGTGACAGGCAGGTTGGCAGGCTTCAACTCAGCAGCGAAGTAGTGTAGAGAATCAAGGCTGGAGGCATTCCGATAGCTCACAGGCACCGAAAAGCACTCGATAATGTCAGCTGCCCTCCGTGACTTCTGAAGTCGCTCCTCCTTGACAACCAGCTGATAAACACTGGGTAGGAAAGAGGAGAGAGAGGCAGATAGATGAGTAACTGTCTGGAAGGATGAGCTTGTCAGTTCTCATGGTGTCAAGGCAATTTCCCCTGTATGGAAACATCTTCACTACTTCTATCTACAACTGAACTTCCCTACTGAGCTTCAGATTTTTTAACCCACTGTTTTGTAGAACTCTGTCTCCATTTAGATGTCTCAAAGCCGTCTGATACTGGACATGTCCAAAACGCAACTCAGCCCCAGCCCCTACAAACCTGCCTGCTCCTTCTTCTAATCTCTTTTCTGAGTGAATGGTAGCGCCTTCTGTCAAGTGGCCAGGTCCTGAATCCAGGGTTCATCCGTTCCATCCTCAGTTGCTAGCTCCCTAGTTCTCACTCTTCATCTTGAATCAACAAGTCCTGTTGATCTGACTTCTGCAAGGCTGCACCTGACCCACCTATTTCTTCCCCTCCCACTGGTAATGCCTAAGTTGGGCACTTACCCACCTCTTACCTGGACTCAACTGGTTCCTTTACCTCTACTTAATTTGATCAAGCAATCTCCCAATCCATTGATCTTCCTAATCATATAGCCTATCAAACACTTTCACTGGCTCTCCACTGTCCAAATTATATAATCTAAACCCCTCATTCTGGCATTTGAAGCCCTTTGTGTCTGGCTTTCAGTCTTCTGTTCGGAAGATCTTCTCATGATGCTCTCCTCATTCTAGCTACTCCAGACCCCAAGCTAATGCCCAAACATCTTTTAGATATCACCCCATGCCATCACTATCTCATGCTTCCTCCACCTGCAGTGGCTTCCCGTCCTGGCCACCTCTGTCTGGGGAAGCCTTTCCCTAAAGGCTAAGCCCCTCTTTCCCCTGCTCTGTGAAGCCTGTGCAGGCTGAGTAAGTTATCCCCCTCTTTGATATCTAAGCTAACTAATTGCTATCTGCAATAACAGGAGATGGGGCTAATGTCTCACTGGCTAGATTGTGATGTTTTAAAAGGAAGGTGTTATCTCTGCATCACTCTCCTTCCACAAACACTGCCCAACAGTAGGCCTGCCACCAAACAAAGAATCAATGAATTCTTGTTCAAATGAATCAAACTGGATTGAATTAAAACAGAGGCAAGCATGAAACCAAATCTGACTGGATGCAGAAATGCTAATCAGATAAACAGTGATTCCCCTGAGTGCCTATCTAGTGATCTCATATCATTCCCTCCAACTTAGAAGGATGTAAAAAGATGGTAGCACGTGAACAGAGTAGACTGAGCGCAACTGCATACCCAATATGTAGACTCTCCTTGCAAAAGTCATTCTAAAGTTTAGGAATTGGGTAACATTTTCCCATCTCTTTGAATGTCCACAGTTTGTACTTCTCTTGAATAGATGTTCTACTTTTAGAAGAGCCTTACTGCACAGATCTCTGGGAGCCAGGATCTAAGACCAACGATCAATTGCCCAGTGAGTGCCCACAGGAGACTTCTGTGAATTAATGAGGTGGTTGCAGCAGGGGCCCCAAACCCATCGTTTAAAGAGGGCATAGTGATGTGACACACAGTTTATGAAAATGGAACGTGGTGCAGGCTACCATCCTTCAAAAGGATGGTATCTAAAGACACTTATCCTATCTAAGGACACTTAGTCAAGAAGTACAACTTGAGAGAAGACAGAAACACAGGACTATTTCATTAAGGAAAAAATGCTATGAAGAGAGTGACCCCAAGAACATGCGACACACTCAATATGGTAAGTATTGCCCTGAATTTCCTTGAGCATGGGAATGGTTAGTCATGCAAATGGGAAAGGATGGGTATGAGTGTCTGTATGCCACACTTGAATGAAATATCTGAATGGAGGTGAGCACCACCTGAGATGAGTATATTTGAGTGGAGGTGAACAGCAGCTGGGGTGAGTGTATCTGAGTGGAGGTGAGCAGCACCTGGGATGAGTATGGCTGTGTGGAGTGATCAACACCTAGATGAGTATATCTGAGTGGAGGTAAGCAGCACCTGGGGTGAGTATATCTGAGTGGAGGTGAGCAGCACCTGGGGTGAGTATATCTGAGTGGAGGTGAGCAGCACCTGTGGTGAGTATATCTTGAGTGGAGGTGAGCCAACCACCTAGATAGTAATATCTGAGTGGAGGTAGCAGCACCTGGGGTGAATATATCTTGAGTTGAAGGTGAGCAGCACCTGGGTGAGTATATCTGAGTGGAGGTGGAGCAGCACCTAGATGAAGTAATATCTGAGTGGAGGTGAGCAAGCAACCCTGGGGGTGAAATATATCTGAGTTGAGGTGAGCCAGCACCTGGGGTGAGTTATATCTGAGTGGCGAAGGTGAGCCAGCACTGGTGTGAAGTATATCCTCGAGTGGAGTGAGCAGCAACTGGGGTGAGTATATCTGAGTGGAGGTGAGCGCACCTGGATGAATGTGATTGTGATCACACCTTGAGTTTGATGGTGAGCAGCACCTGGGGAGTAATATCTGAGTGGAGGTGAGCAGCACTGGGTGAGTTACTCGAGTGGAGGTGAGCAGCACCGGGGAGTATATCTGAGTGAGTGAGCAGCACTGTGGTGATAATATCTTGAGTGGAGGTGAGCGCACTAGTGAGTGATATATCTCGAGTGGAAGGTGAGCAGCACCTGGGGTGAATTATATCTGAGTGGAGGTTGAGCAGCACCTGTGGTGAGTATATCTTGAGTGGAGGTGAGCAGCACCTAGATGAGTATATCTGAGTGGAGGTGAGCAGCAACCTGTGGTGAGTAATATCTCCGAGTGGAGGTGAGCAGCACCCTTGTGGTGAGTATATCTCGAGTGGAGGTGAGCGCACCTGTGGTGACGTATACTCGAGTGAGGTGAGCGCAACCTGTGGTGAGGTATATCTCGAGTGAGGTGAGCAGCACCTGTGTAGTATATCTCCGAGTGGAGGTGAGCAGCACCTGTGTGAGTATATCTCCGAGTGGCAGGTGAGCAGCACCTTGTGAAGTATATCTCGGAGTGGAGGTGAGCAGAACCTGTGGTGAGTATATTCGAGTGGAGGGTGAGCAGCACTGGTGAGTATGGACTGTGTGGAGGTGCACACACCTGATGGAGTATATCTGAGTGGCAGGTAGAGCAGCACCCTGTGCGTGAGTATATCTGAGTTGGAGGTGAGCAGCCCTGGGTGAGTATATCTGAGAGGTGAGCAGCACCTGGGTGAGTATATCTGAGTGGAGGTGAGAGCCTGTGTGAGTATATCTGAGTGGAGGGCAGCAACCTGATGGTAGTATGTCTCGAGTGGAGGGGAAGACGCACTAGTGGTGAGTAATATCTCGAGTGGAGGGTGAGCAGCACCTGGGGTGAGTATATCTGAGTGGAGGTGAGCAGCACCTGTGGTGAGTATATCTCGAGTGGAGGTGAGCAGCACCTGTGGTGAGTATATCTGAGTGGAGGTGAGCAGCACCTGTGGTGAGTATATTCGAGTGGAGGTGAGCAGCACCTGGTGGTGAGTATATCTCGAGTGGAGGTGAGCAGCACCTGTGGTGAGTATATCTCGAGTGGAGGTGATCAGCACCTTTGGTGAGTATAATCTCGAGGTGAGGTGAGCCAGCACCTGTTGGTGAGTATATCTCGAGTGGGAGGTGACAGCACCTGTGGTGAGTATATCCTGAGTGGAGTGAGCAAGGCACCTGTGTGGTATATCTTGGATGGAGGTGAGAAGCACCCTGTGGTGAGTATATCTCCCGAGTGGGGAGCACACCTGTGGGTGATATACTCGAGTGGGAGGTGAGCAGCACCTGTGGTGAGTATATCTTGAGTGGAGGTGAGCAGCACCTAGATGAGTATATCTGAGTGGAGGTGAGCAGCACCTGTGGTGAGTATATCTCGAGTGGAGGTGAGCAGCACCTGTGGTGAGTATATCTCGAGTGGAGGTGAGCAGCAGCTCAATGAGCATTCCTGTTGTCCTATGTATACATCTGAATGAGAACCTGAAAGCCCAGGCTGCATGTGAGTAATATGTGGGCAAACGTGGCCAAGCCCTTAGGAGGCACATGCTACATCTGAGTGTGCATATGTCCAAATGATGATCTGTAGCGCCTGGGTGTCTATCTGCAACATCCAAATGAATATATTATAGCTAACCTGGGTGTTTAGACTCCTAAGGAAGTGTGTATGGCATCTGAGTGTGTCTAACATCCCAAAGTGTGTGAGAGGGCATGACATCTATGTATGTTCCTAATGCCAGTTGAAGTCCATAAATGTTTAAGTGAAGCTATGACTTCAATACTTCTCAACTCTGGGATCATTGTCAACTGCACAATTGCCATGTCTATCAGGACAGCTAAGCTCAAAGCAGTAACTGAAAAGCAACACAAGGACCTAAGACCTAAACCTTGAGGTTGTAGGGTGGGAGCAGAGGGGTGCTTGTAACAGAGCTTTCAGCATATGCCCAGCTTTATATATACCCATCATCTCAAGCAAAACTTTGAACCTGGCTAGAGTGCTAATAGTAGTTCAACCAGCTGAGGGTCTATTACTCACAGGACTCTGGTCTGCAAGGGAAAAGGCAAAAGTTAATAAAAAGCAAAGGAGTGACTTCAGGAAACAGATAACCTCTTGGGCCCTCCTGCTGAGGCTTGCAACAGAACCTGAGGACACTCTGCATCTAGCCCTTGTGTCCCCAACCAGTTCATGAATAGCCAACAGCCTCACTCCCAGAGCCAGGGGTTGGAGAGAGCTGTGGGACCGTGCTTTCTCCTGTGGCCCAGTCTGTTCCTAACCATCACTTGGGTTGATTATGCCCACACAACAAGACCTTTGTCTTGTGTTTTCAGCTATTCTTCTCATCCTACCTTGAATCCTTCTGCTGCCTTTGTCCTTTAAATTGAGACCTCAAAGCCTCAGGAGCGTCCTTGAAGATCTTTCCCACTCCTAGAATCACTTACTGTTGGCTCTGGATCTCCTATGATGGGATAAATCAAGGAGAACCACAAGGCTGGCCTCATGTTCTGTCCATGACTGGCATAAAAT